TGTCTCCACATTGTGATTGGTTCACTCCTTGATGTGGTGGTATAATCACCCTACTCACTCCTTTGCTTTCCCGCAAACTAGTTATAAGCTCTTTAGTGTAGCTAGATTTGAGAGCTTGCTTTGTAGTTTAGTTTCATCTAGTGGAGCACTTTAGTGTAGCCTTGTTGAGAGCTCTTAGTGAGTAGCAACATAGCCTTTTGTGTGCCTAGTGATCATAGCAACTAGAATTGTTGGAATAGGTGGCTTGCAACCCTTGTAGAGCTAGAGCAAATTGCATTACGACGTTTGTTATACTAATCAATTGCTCTAGTGAATTTGTAGAGTTTTAAATAGGCTATTCACCCCCTCTAGCCATATTAGGACCTTTTCAAGTGGTATTGGAGTCATGGTCACCATTTGATTGAAGGCTTAACAACCTTGGTGTCAAAAGATGGCTCAAATTGTGTTCAACCATTGAAAGCTCTAGTTTGATTTTGGTGAATTGATGAAACCCTAAGTGCTAACCTAGTTTATCAAAGTGATCATGAGATAGATAGCACTATTCCAAGTGGTGGAGCAATGTTGAAGATCATGATGATGGTATGGTGACCATGGTGATCAAGTGCTTGGCTTGGAAAAGAAGAAAGAGAAAAACAAAAAGCTCAAGTCAAAGGTGAAACTTGATAGGAGTTTTTTGGTTTAGTGATCAAGACACTTAGCGAGTGTGATCAATTGCTCTAGTGAATTTGTAGAGTTTTAAATAGGCTATTCACCCCCCCCCTCTAGCCATATTAGGACCTTTCAGCTATGGATATGGAGGGAAGGACATGGAGGACAATTTGTAAACCAGGTGGTGCTGAAATGTCCATCCATCAAGCTCAGGGTCACCTGTGTGTGTGTTGTGCTGATTTTCGCAATAGGTCTTGGCTTTTAGTGTTGATACTTGAAGACTATGGTACTGATAACTGGAGTTTGAAGCATGTTGTGGACATAGAGGAACTATTTGGACACATGAATATTAAAGTTGGTTCTAAGCTTTGTGATGAGGAGTACAGAGTGATTACAGTTCACCCAGAATGGAATTTCATTTTCCTTGTTGGGAAGGATAGAACATTGATTGCATATGACATGGAATGTAGAAAGGTTCATGTCTTCCATGCCTGTGTCATCCGCTTTTGTAGATTAAGAGGGTGTTTCCATATGAATAGGCCATACTATCTTCCTTATATTCCCTTGTTCATTGAGTCTTTAGCAGAGCAGTAAAGGTGCATTTCCTGCATTTCGTCGTCACGATAGTCTTTGTTCAGGTAGGGAGTTGTTTTCATTCCATCTATGTATAGGCCAATTTTGGCATGTTAACTAAAGGAATGGTATGTTTAATATTATTAATTTTGTTCCTTTGTTCAGGTTGTGGATCAGAGATGAATAAGAGGGGTTACATGGTGCATTGGCTACCAATCCGAAGGATGCACTAATTATATTTATTTTGCCTTGCAAGCAGGAGTGCCACATAGAAAGAGCACAACTACGTCATTTCATTATGTAAGTCTATATAGATCAGTACCTTTAGTATGCTCTATGTACCGCTTGTGTTAGGACATCAGTTGAGAAAGATGTTATGGTAGTGTCCATTGTTATTGTAAAAAGTACTCTTGTTTGTGAACATGATTTATGGATGTAATGATTATATATCTGTATGCTTTGTGTTCATGAAACTATTAAGGGCCAGCTGAATTAGTAACTATTGTGAAACCAGATAAAATTCTATCACCGTCGCTATACGTATGATGCGGCAAGGATCAAAGTATATCGTCGCTATCCTTTAGTAACCCGACACCGACTAAACGATCATCAAAGGCGGATCGTGGTGCAAGGCGACGGTGACCATGACCTTTGTACTGGCGGATCATACGTTGAAGCAATGGTGGTGTTAACCTCTACATAGGCGTGTCGGCCGTCGAAGAGACAGTTAACCCACACCGCTGACAGTCGGGTCGAAGTACAAGGCGACGGTGTTGGTGACCACTACACAGGCGGTTGATGTGCCCACACGATAGTTTTGATAGCCTCGACACAGGCGGATCATTTGCCACTGCGGCGGTGTTAGTGTACCTCCACAGTCAGGTCATGCTCCAGTGCGGCGGAAGTAAGGACCTAATCACGGACGAATCATAAGCCAATCGGTGGTGTTAGTGTACACCACAGTCTGTCCCAGATGACAATGGTGAAGGCTATGACCATCACTGTCGACAGCTTACTGTCGAGGCCGAAATGCAGCTGTGATGGGGGTTACAACGTGTCTGTGAAAGGTCCGAGTGTAGTAGTGCAAGTACTCAGGGTTTGTTAACCCCTGTTGTAGGTTCTGACTTATGCTGCTAATCGAGGTCATGTCGGTGGGCTCGACATGATCTAGTTGTCTCCTCTACCTTAGGTGTTCACCTCAGTTGCTTCTATAGTTCTACTCACCCGTTGAAACTTAAAGTTAATTAAGTTGTTACATGAACATGTTTTGTAAACTAATGTTATGTCTTCCGCACTCTGATGTAAGTTATTTATGTACCAAATGTCGTAATGTTGTGGTAACTCCATGTTGATCCTGTATGAGTTGTAAAATGTAGATGATTCGGGGTTCCCCGAGGACACCCGATAGACTACCAGAGTTATCTGTCTCTCGTGTGCAGCAGTCAGATGTCTTTAGGACAATGATAGGTGCACGTGGGCCATATAATTTAGGTGGTTCTGCCACATATATATACTTAATTTAGTATAATTTCACTGGCTATTTGGAGGTGGTTGTGGTGCCCTAAGACCAGGAGAAGCTGGTGCAAGTATTGGAATACCCCATCCACAATACAAGTGCATGCTGATCACATCCAAGGCATAGGATAGAGTTCTCATCTATGTGAGAGTTGGGCTCTGTATCTTGAGAGTAACCTTATAATCTTGGGAGCCAGTGCACATGAGGCTTTAGAGTCTTCTGGTGATCGTCAACCCTCCAATCTTGGTGTGGAAGGGCAGCAACTTGGTGTGTGGGGATGAGGAAATCACCTCCTTGGTGGAGAAGCTCCATAATGAACAGCGCCAAGGTGACTAGGAGAGCCCGGTGGCAGTGGTGAGCCTTTTTGGCTTGCATTATTTGCCTTAGTTATGCAAGCCTTTATGGTAAGCTCAATACTATGATCAGGAGAAGGCTTGGTGTCCGTAAGTGTGCTAGGTGGAGTTTCAACGTGGACTAGGGCTTGCTTTAGCAACCGATACACATGAACATTATCGTCTCTGGAAGTTTTCCCTATTTTGACTTGCTCTTTAGAGCATCTCCAAGAGTTTCCAAAACACTCACAATCTAGAATTTTTAGCAAAATTGAGAAAAACACGTCTCCAACAGCTCCCAAAACCACCTCCTAATCTTTTGGCACTTCCAAAAACTGAGTCCTTTGAGCGCAAAGTTACGCGCAGTCGCGCTCGCGTGGATCCTGTACAGGCTATCGCACCAGTCGGCAACATGGGGAGGCCGGCGGCATGCCTCCGCGCCACCCCTCGCCGCCGGTGTGGCCCTCCAGGCCGGGATCGGCAGCTCGCTCTTGTCCTCACGTGCCTTGTTGGGAGCTGAAAGGTCCTACCAAACTAGAGCTTTCATGAGCCCAAGAAGAAGGGGGTGGGAAAGGAAAAGGAGAAAAGACAGGGTTCCATGTGAGAAAAGGTAAGAGAGAAAGATCAGGTGAGAGGGCTTAAATGGGTATAGAAAAAATTCAGGGTTCCTGATGCAAAACATCATAAACCCTGAGACCGATCAAATTTTGATTTTGGAGGTGTAATATTGGAAACTCTTGGAGATGGCCTTCTTTTTTTCTCCCAATACTTTTTAGGAGTTGAAAAACATGGAGTTTTTAGGAGGAAAATTTAGGATACTCTTGGGGATGCTCTTACCTATGACATTTAAGCTTCCACATTATGCTTGTCTAGTGTGGATTTTACCTTTCCTAGATTAGCATAGACTAGTTGTCAGGATTACTTCAAGATTGCAAAACTATATAGGTTTGGATAGAAAGGGCACACTAAAAAACATAAGGTACACATCATGCTCCCTCCATTCCAAATTATGAGTCATTCCAAAAAGCTTTGAGAGTCCAAGCATCTTAAGTTTGACTAAAATTATAAAGAAAATTATAAAGATTTATAACATAAAATGGGTATACTATGAAAATATAATTAACAAAGAATCTAATGATACTTAGTTGATACCATCATATAAATTTAGTCAAATTTGAGATCCTTTGACTCTATAAGATTCTTGAAATGACTTATAATTTGAAACGGATGGAGTACTTGACTAGTTTATTTAGAGATCCAATTCACCTCTCTCCTCTCGGGCCTCCCGGGTTTAAGGGATGTCCCGATTGCCTACAATGGCATACATAAGTAATGTCCTTTCTTTGTTTAATCTAAATTTAGCCACGGAAAGCCAAGCCAAACAATGCATCATGGATGGCGACCATCTTTGCCAAGTTACACAGGCCCTATTTATTTGGCCTTTTGGCTTCTAGAAGATATATGGCTTTTGTAAAGTCATAGTCCAAAAATAGTCAAAAGCGCAAACAGATCGGACCTAAGTTGCCGAGTAAGTGTTCACCAATCCTGCTGATTTGTAGGAACGACTATATTTTAGCCTAAGCTAAATGCATTAGAGGACCATTAACTTACACGAGGATTTTAGTTAGGTCCAGAAACCAAACACGCTGTGTATTGAGCTGTTCGACTGATGGTTTCTGTGGCTAATAAACCCATTGACGTTGTTTTATTGTGAGAAAAATAGTGTACCATAGCTGATAAGCGCTGTGAGAGAAAATATATGTGGTTATCATGCAAGCTATCATCAGCTTTTGATTTATTATTTCTTTTGCGAGGTACGGTCTGGTTCCAGATCTTGAATATACACGTACTCGTACGTCGCTACGACGGCGAGACGAGATAGTGTTGCAAATCGGCATGGAAATGGGCTAACACCGTCACACATGATTCCATCACGCCTGGCCAGATCCAGAACCACCCGCGCCCTTCACTACCTCATAGACCGCCGAAAAATCCTGGTCCCCCAGCCCCAGGCTCCTCGCCTTCTTGAACGCCTGCAATTCGATGGTAGTGTGGTGCCATTGTCAATGTTTTTCTTCACTCAAGATCCCGTGTTTCCTAAGGTGTAGGAAAGTTTGGTAGGAGAGTATGGCGCACCTCATTGGCAGCTGCTGAGACAGGCATGGCGACGGCGTTCTCATCTCCCAGGGCAAGAGCTAACCTCATGTCCTTCTGCTGATGTTTCAGAGGAAACGCAGGGTTGTAGCTGCCTTGCACCATTGTAGGCCCCTTCAACTTGAACATTGGGTTTGCGATGGCACCAAGGTCCTTTTTTAAGTCAAAGAGTACTGATCCAGTTATTCAAAGGTGACAAAAGTGTAGCCACACGCGTACAGCAATCTCAAAAGCATCGAGTGTCATACCAGTACATCGAGAAGTGTTTGGGGGCTCAATCCACTTTTGTCGGCCAAACAGAGTCCCTCGGACAAAGCATTCATCATACTGCAGCAACAAACAAATGTCACTGAAAGAGTGAATAGTTGTTGTCCATGAATTTACAGCTCTAAATGTAAAGAGATGCTAAAAGGTGCTAACACATAGGGATTGTGATCTATGGAGTGTGCAATGAGCATCGATATATAACAGAAAATCACATCAGTGGGGCAAGCCCCATAAACTCTCATACACAAAATAAGGAGGCAATTTGAAATTCCAAATAGATCTACTATATGTGCACACCAAAATGGTTTATATCTTTGCAGCAAAGGAGTTTATGCTCAGAGGGATACAACATTCAGCATAATGCTCAGAGGGATACGAGATTCAGCATAAGGAAAGGCTCGGACTTGTAGCAGGAAAAACCTCTATTGTGCCACTAAGTCAGAATCTATTAATTACAGAAAAGGATAAGCTTGCTTTCGAAAAATTGTAAGGCATCTCCTTCAAGACATAACAATCTTGTATGTTCTTCCACCAAAAGGAATAAAATATTGCTTCCAAAACATTATCAGTAGAAATTAGGATTCAGGAGTCATATGTCTTCAACTGATCCTTAACACAATACTAGATTATATAGATCGAGATGGCAAATGGAATCATTTAGGTTTATGTACCCCAAATTCTAAATTCGAATTACTCTATCCTTTTGCAGACATCTTCCTATAATGTGTGTAGTCCACTTTTGAAACTTTAACGACACAAAAATAAAAGCATTAAGATTTGTCACACACAATGGTATTAGTGTATTCATAATCAGAAGTACTTTGGTGTCCATAATTTCAATGCTTTCTGAGAAGAGTTATGGAGACCATATCAATGTCCAAAAATAAAAAATAACAAATAGCAAGCAATGGAGAAATATTAGTCACCTTCCCATGATCATGTTGACCACAAGCTTCATCTTTGCCCCATTTCCAATCTCTCCAAGAAAGAATGACTTCTTCCCCAGTACATCAAATGCAGGAACCACACCGTCATACAATGCCTGAAATGTTAAGAAATAGAATCAAATGAGCAAACAAGAAAGTTACGCCGTATGTGGTGTTATCCTATGGCAGAATATTGCAAGTGCCAATTTGTACCTGATAATTGATGTGTTAAAAGTATTATACAGTAGTTAGTTTCCTTATTTAAAAAATCATGTTTAGATCCTTGCACTTTTTAAGTTGTTGTGTCTAATCTTTCTGCTATCTATAAACAGAAAGTTCTATGGTTTTCTGGCAACTACTACTTGCAATACCATAACCTACATTTAATTCATTTAACTGTTAAGATAAGATCCATGTCCCGCGACAAGAACCATTATTTAAGAAAAAAATTATCTTTTACATAGTCAACGAAAATCATGATCAATAGACCCACAGATGAACCAACAGCATATATTCTAACAAGAGAACTATAAGCGAAGCAATTTCTACAGTTTAATTATTTCCAAGGAAAAATGATACAGTGATATGAGAGAGCTTTTGTGATTTGTTGAGTACCATAAACACAACTAGCTTGTACTAGATACAAATGATCATCATATTTCAGAGCACAGTGAATTACCTTGTCCCCTGCAGCAAGAATGACCAATTGACCATCTTCAGCTGGCTTCTTGCTCCCTGAAACTGGAGCTTCAAGGAAAGCTCCCCCTTTTTGTTTAACTGCCTGCAATAATATGATACAAGAAGACCATATGTAAGCAAACTTTGGTGGACACACACAGAAAAAATAATAATTAACACAGTAATTTTGTGATAGATAGAGATATATGGACGATTGCGGTAATGAGTAATAAATCTACTAATTTGCTGTGTTACTGTCCAGAAATATAAATTTCAGTATAGAATTCATCTCACGTACATCATATGCATGCAGCACGCTGTCACAGTTGTGCCTACATGATCAAATCGGATTATCACTGAATGCAGATCCTTGATTAAATTGATTTGTTATGACATGCACAGTGATTAGATAGGAGTGCTTGGAAAAAAGGCTATTGACATGCCTAAACCGTGACTAGGGGCTCATGTTGGGTTCCAACTCTAGCCTACCCCAACTTGCTTGGGACTAAAAGGCTTTGTTGTTGTTGTTGTTGTTGTTGTTGTTGTTGATGATGATATGCACAGTGATTGCCAGACTTTGTGGTTGCCAGTACAATGAAAAATAAATATAAATCTTATGTTTCCTATTATCTGTAGAGCTTCATCAGTATGTCACAACTCCTCCCATTAGTTGTGGATGCTAGCCTCAGTGTTCTTCCTTACAAATAAGTTAAGCTCCATTTACTGCCGATGTAGCTTCCAGGTAAAAGGTACAAAAAATGCACAAACTTTCCAGTTCCCACCATGATTGCCATGCCTTCGTTGCCAGTTTATACATCAGCCAAAAAATTATTTTTGACTACATTGTATCTATGAGTGCACTCACCCAATACTTTTTCCCTATAATGCTATATAGCATAATTATATGGCATTTCAGCCATTTATGGGAAGTATCTTTCTTTCTGTTTGCATACAAGTATGTCACCAATGATATAGCAACATTTTTGTTCTCTTCTACTCCATTTATGAACGTATAAGAATCAGCTTGCAAAACTGACTAGATATGTAGTGCTGTTCATACTAGTTTTTGTTCATGGTAATCTAGGATAGCCTTTGACTTCTTTTGGGACATTTTCTTATTGTTCTTCATGCTTTATAATCAATTGGTAATTTGTCATTTATTTTGACTCTGCCTTAGTGGTGGCAGATATATTTTTTGACCCGAAAAACAGCAGAGGGCTCCCACTGTTAGGGTTTTAGACCCAACTGTACAACAGAAACAGAATAAAAAAGAATAGCAACAACAAAGGAAACAGGAAGCCTGAGGTAGGCTGGACCAAACTATGTACAAAGCTCTATCCAAGAAAGGAAGGGAGGACGCTTGTTTTCAGAGATCCTGTGAGCTTGTAGGCGAGCTTCATCATTAGTGTTCCTTGAAGACAAACCTAGTTATACAATCCATGTGTCATCTCAAATATTTTATCTTTAATTAATTTCCTATTTTCCTCTAGAAAATCTTGTATTCCCAATCAATAGTTCAATACAATTAGAAGACTTAATATGCCTGAAATACTCCCTTTGATTCCAAATGTAAGTCGTTTTAGACTTGTGCACAAGGATTAAGAAAATATATCAGATGGCCTTAGTGCCCTTCCTTTATTATGTATTGGGAAAGATCGCTCCATTTTGTGAGAGTGATAACATTTATTAAGCAGAGGCTATGAAGGAAGAAAATGGTTAGAGATGCATAGAAGTTCTAAAACGATCTACATAAGAGGGGGCAATGAAGAAAGAAAAGGATCAAATATGCATAAAAGTTATAAAACAACCTACATTTAAAGAAAAGTAGAGAAGGCTAAAACGACTTACATACGGGATAGGAAGGAGTATAAATCAAGAAATATCAAGACGAGGTTTTTATTTTGAATTGAGGCTTACCCTGAACTCTGAATTTGGGCCGAAATTCGTCGGAAATCACTAAAATTTGGTCCTACCGCTGGGGTCCGATAAAATCCCATACCAAACTTTTAATCTCAGCCTGTTTTAAAAAGAAAATTTGGGGCCCAACGGAGTCCATATGGCCCATAGATCCATTCTCAACCATATAAAACCTGGGATCAAACCCTAGCTTACGGCAATTTATTTCTCTCTCTTTAGCCACCGCCTGCGTCCCTCCTTTTCTCTGCTCCTTGCTCTGCTCCGATGGAAGGGATGCTCTGGTTGTTGCTCCCACGATAGAGCTGCTCGGGATAGTCAGATTAGGAGTAGCTGGCACAAGGTGGATGCCAATGCGCTGGGCAGCTCAAGTCCAATCTGGAGTGGCTGCTGGTCGAGGCCAAACTGCAGATGGCGACGGTGCAGGTGCTGGCAAGGGAGATCCTGACGCTGCAGCTGGAACCCATAGATAAAAGGCGCTGGTGCCCCATAGCAGCTGGAGTAACGGCGTGATGGCCAACAGCACTTCCGTCTGCCTGAACCCATGACAGCCTCGCCGTTCCTTAGCATTGCTTGCAGCAACCCAGTTCAGATGCAAATGAGATGTTCGATATATCGTGTTTTCTACCATATCTGTGTTTGGCTTTCAAGGGTGCTCTATTCTTTCTTATTGGTTGATTTATTCACATGTGGAAATTAATCATTGGGGGCCACAGCTAGTGATGCATAGGGGTGTCTTCTTTGCTTGCTTGAGCCCGTGTTCATCCATTGTTTTGGCCTTCTGGGATGTGCATGATTACAATTTATTTTCTCTTGGAAAAGGTAATGCACTGCTACTAAACTGTAACACGAATGACGTTGTGGTTGATTGAGAACTCTTAACAAAAAAGAATGGAAATTTGAGTCATCAGTCTATTAAGTCTCGAAACTTTGCTGATTTTTTATAAAAGGTTTTGGATTTTCTCGCCCAAATTTCGGCCAGATTTCGGATGCATGTTTGAATCAGTTTAAAGTTTGTCGTATCGAAAAAATCTCCAAAATCACCAAAAAAAACATGAAATTCGATCCTAGCGCTGGGGCCCAATATTTTTCCAAGAAATAGTAGCCTAAACCCTGGGCATTTCCATTACAGAAATAACAAAAAACATCTATTTACAGAAGAAGATGAAGGGAAACAACTAGGTTCAAGGATAAACCAAGTCAACCTAAGGCTATCTAACTGAGTCAAGCAAAGAAAAAACATAGGAACAGATATGGTTTTAAGTTTTCTGTATTAGAAAATCCATGCTCTGTGGAACATAGCAGAGTCTAAATGCAAAGTTTAAACTAGGTATATAGAGATGCCTGAGAAAAAGATAAATCCTTCTATTCCTGATTTTTTTTCTTCCTTGTCACCTACTCTTCCCTTCTTCACTGTACAGCTCCTTTTGCAGACAATACAGAACCGTACATGTAGGTACAAGTACTATCATACTCCAAATGTCATGGGAGCTTATGCACAGATATTTGCAATTAATAAATCAATCTCAATTGACATTTGATGAATGTGAATGGTCACAGAACATGTAACAAAATCTAAAAGAGGAAAATTTATGTTCCTCTTTTACAATTAAGGAGGAACGCAAACCATTAAAAAAAGGGCAGACCCAGTGCCGGAGGCAAGGAGGAACGCAAACCATTAAGGAGCATATATCGGCATCCATCACAATTGATACAAGTCAAATTATTGTGATTGTGTTTTTTTCTGTAATTTTGGAATCAGGTGCTGTGCTTGTGTGCGGTTGCCATGGTTTTTGAGGTGCTCCTAGGCATTGAGACGTACCCTAGGCGCCACAAGGTTTTAGTTATGCCATATCGCATACACCTCCAGGTTTACCCCCAGCCCACAGGACGCCACAACACCTCAAAAATCATGGCGTTTGCCCTTCCTAACGCTAGTAGAATACAATATATTTGACAGGCTTGGTGAAATGAAAGGGTATGATGCAAGGTTTATCCCTGCAACCATTGCTCAGTGGCGATCTACGTATCCAGACAATCAAACTGCCTCGTGGTCTACCACTTATGCCAACAACAAAGAAAGTGGCATCTTATATCTGCACAATAGCCAATATCCAATCTGACAAAACAAAATGCAGCTGAGGGAGATACCTCGCTAATCTTGGTCGAAGTTGCGGCGTCGACAGTGGACATGTCCACATAGCCCTTCCCGCTACCGATCTGCTCGAGCACGCCATCCTTGTCAAAGACAACCTAGGTGGAAACGCCGGACCGGAAATCGATTAGACAAAAATGAAATGTCGCATCTTTCCACTATACTGTATAGATAGAAAGGGGAATCACGGCTGAATAATATGAAGATGCTATGAAGCGTGTCTTAACTGATAGGGCGGCGCTGGGGTCGGAGAGCATGGCGATAGTGTATCTGCACTTGGAGACGACGGAGGCGGGCGTCTCCCCGACGGTGGCGCCGAGCGCGGCGAGCTCTTGGCACTAGGAGAAGAAGAGGTCACGGAGATGCGATTTCAGGAGCACGAGTGCGGGGCTTAATCGGACGGGAGGGGACGGATTCGGATTGAGCCGAACAGGAGGACGCCGGCGCGGGCGCAGCGGCTCCGATGCAATACCTTGGCGAGGGTCCGGTTCCAGACGGTGACGCGGAAGCCGTGGCGGAGGAGGTTGGCCGCCATTGCCTTGCCCATAATGCCCAGGCCCAGGAACCCCACCTCCATCTCTGCTGCCTGCTTCGGTGCTTCCTCCCTCCCCTGCCCTCTTCTCTCCAAAGCTCGCAAGCGCGCACGGTGTAGGCTAGCCTAGCCTGGCCCCTGTGTGTGAGTGTGCTTGTAGCGGGCGCCGCAACCGCATCGATACACTTGTGCTCCTCCCAGTAGAGCAGCGCGGCGCAAACCCTCTCCTCTCTCCGTCCCGACCAATGCTCGATTTTCTTGATGTTTTTATGGTTTTTTCTTTTGTCGCCTCTCGTTGGATTTTCTGTTGTTGTGCTGTGCCTAGTAGGTCTACGGAGCAGGAGTGCAGGAGGCGTAGATCGCTGCCGTCCATAGGGCATCGGACTGTCTCAGGTAGAGCACGTGGACCAGGGGAACAGGTTGGATCCCCGGCAGGGGTCCGCGTGTCAGTGGCGATTGGGCCAGATTTGTGGTGCTCACTCACTCGGGTGTGTCGAGGGCAACAGACAGACCTGCCGGCCACATCGGCAACGGGTACCCGAAACACGCAACCCAACGGGTTTTTACCCTATTAGGGTAAGAGTATGGGCAATTTCTCTACCCGTGATTTTGTTAATGGGCAAAAACCTAGAGCCAGCGGGTTTGCGGGTGTGGGTCTAGGAGTATAGTACCTAAGCCCATAAACCCATGGGTTTTTTAAACCCGATCCATACACAATATTTAGATAAATTATAAATATTACAAACCCATGACATGTTCATAAATCATAATCCTACGCATCATCATGTAGCAATAGAGGTAAAAAATGAGAAGAATAAGAAACGCACATGTTACAGGGCTACAACATGGGCTTCTTGTTCACATGCATGGCGAGCACCGCTTGCCGTGTGCTAGTGCAACTGTGCTGTCGTCATGCAGCCTGTTCGTTGGCTGGTTCGTATAGTTGCTAGTTCATGAAGAAGTATTGCTGGCTGGTTTGTGTGATAGAAAAATACTGTTCTGGCTGAAAATTTATGATCGTTTACGACAAGCCACAGCCAAACGAACAGGCTGATGCTCCTGTGGGATTAGCACAAGTTGGTAAATAGCCCAGTGCTGCCCACTGCCCACGGTGTCAGCACCCATCAGCAAGAATGCAAGATGCAGTGCAAATAGATGTTGCGGCGCTCAGCCTGTTCGTTTAGCTGTGGCTTGTCGTAAACGATCGTAAATTTTCAGTCGGAATAGTATTTTTCTCTCACACAAACCAGCTAGCAGTACTTCTTCACCAACCAACAACGAAACGAACCAGCCAACCGAACAGTGCAGTAGCTCAAACGATTTTCATCTCTACGTTCCTATGCTGTTGCGGGCACGGGCGACCCGATGGGCACCAGTGGCCCGAGCGGGTATGGGTCTGGGCATAAAATTAAACCCGTGACAATTAATAGGTTTTTTAACGGATAGCTTTTCTATTCATGCGCATGGGTTTGGGTTGGCAAAACCCAGCGGGTTTGTACCTGTTGCCGTCTCTACCCACATCAGCTGGGCGCGGCCGAACAGCGCGCGGCGAGGTGCCGCTGCTGTACGTGTCACGCGTGTTCTGGGCTTGTAGCAAGCCCATTGGGCTTCTCCTTTTCTTCATATGGGCTTCTACGAGCTTTGGTTGGAGCTGCAGCGTACAGTCCATTCCAGTCTTCGAACTCACTCACACAGAGAGCATTGCAGCAACACAAGTTTTTTTTTCCCGTGAAGGATTTCGGGCAGCCCGATCCAATTTAGGCCTGGTTTAAATATACGTGAAATGTGGTGGATACAAGTATAGCTAAATAAAATCTTTTGGTCTAAGCTAACATAATGCTGCGATAACCGATAAGTGTGATAGAATGGACACCATGGTTTAGGCTTCAAGTCTACACATATATAGGCTAGAGGCGCACCCTCTCTCTCCCTCGCTTCCAATTTGCTCTAGCTTCGCCACATCAATGAGGGTTTGGAGTGAGGCCAAGGAATCCTAGGAGAGGATGATTCTTTTGATTAAGTATTTGCAATTTGTCGTTTCATATTCATCAAATTGCTTATACATTTACATAAGTACATGCACCGTGGATTGGGCTTCTAGGCCTAGAAGGGAGGAGTGCTGGTTAGTGGTATCGGTATGTCCTTTTCTGAGAGGTGAGATGACCACTTGGGCTTTTCTATTTGACAATATGTTATATGTATAGGATGGATAAAATGTTGGTATTGCAGAAATCTTGGGGTTTGTATCCTCATGCACCTATTGTGCATCCGCCCCTGCTTGAGGTACGGTATTCCATTGGCAAATAATGGACTAGAACTAGATCCATAAGCTAAAGTTTTGGGACTAAGTTCAGTCGTTCAGAGAGTATTGGTTAAGGATGTCATGTGGAATGATTTAGACTAGAGAACAATGCATATGAAGAATCATCTTAACAATCGCTCATCACTCTTTAATCAAAGGGATCTTGCCTGTCTAGACCCTATGTTCCAAATTATAAGACGTTTTAGCTTTTTTTAATACATTGTGTTTGTTATGTATCTAAATATAGTGTATATTTAAATGTATAGCAAAAGCTATGCATATAGAAAACCCAAAACGTCTTATAATTCAGAATGGAGAGAGTACCAAACATTTTGGCTGGTAGACGACTTTTGCCAAAATTCATGTAAAAAAATGTTTCAGACATCCCGTAATCTTATTATTATTTATTAATGCCTTGGTCTTAGGGCAAACAACATGCCACATCAGACTTTTTGCCTACATGGCAAGGTATTTAATGCTATGGAAACTATCCTAATAGGAGGGTTGGGACTGCCCTTACAAAAATCGTGCATGCAGGCAGGAGAAAGGCTCCCAACAATTGGAATTTTCCACGGGACCCCCTCTTTAATCTCCCTGTTAATCACAACTTCACAAGTCTGCGCCCTCATGAGTTATTTTACTTGTTGTTAGGCCGTCAAGAAAAGAATAATGGTATGTTTGAATCCACTATAATTATAATAATCGGTTAAAATACTTTAATTGTGACCTAAACAGGCTATATTATATGGTGAATTATTATAATCAAAACATCATATTACAATAATCTCATAGTCCACCTTGGCCCTGCTTTTTGGTAATTATGAGTATTTTTCAGTTGAACTAAGAATAATCCACCACAATATAATCTAGGAATCAAAACACTATAATTATTATTGTTCATATCTAACTTATAATAATCATATGTATCATGGATATTATAGTAACTCTTTTTGTAATCCAAACATACCCTATGCCACCCAAGAGGATGCACATCAGCCCATCATCAACCTAAGCCGCCACCACGCTCGCATGGGTGTGTAGTGTGTTTGGTCGCTAGATGCGGGCTGGATTATAAAGTTAAAATTATTGTCTCGAGTTGTCATAAACAATCTAAGGTTATATAACTCTGAGAAAAATATGACATTAGTTAGATAGGAGTATGTGCACGCTCTATATTTTTTTTGGTGAACTATATACATTATAGGCTGATCTATTCTTTTAGAAAAGGTTTTTGGTTGAGCAACCTTTTTGCAGGAGATAAATGCTCTAGATTATTATAGTTGCTTATTTTCATATGTCATTTGCTATCACATGCTTTTATATGTTTTTTTAAAATCATTTTTTTCAGCAATGAAGAAGGCGTTTGTTTCCATGGATGGAAACGTAAATGGTAAGGAAAACAAATCACGCGGGGAGCAGCCGGGGAATCTTGGTTCCCGTGATTTGTTCGGTTGCCAAAAGTAAGGGAAACCGAAAACGGCAGCTGCTGATCGGCTCATATGCAGCGGAGTGGTCACCATTCCAGAAGGCAAAGGAGGTTGAGAACCGGATACGGGTCCGGAAACGATGGAGGCCGCCACCGGAAAATGTTGTCAAGATAAACTGTGAATGGGATGCTCGCGTAATAAGCGCTGGTTATGGAAAACTGGAACATGTAGCTGAAGCCTTTCATGCTGAGATTATAGCCTGTTTACAAGCTGTACAACGAGCGGCTGATCTGGGGGTTCAGAATGTGATCATCGAAACAGATGCATCCATGGTGGTGCAAGCTGTCAAGTCTGCAGATTATGTTCGCTGCTCCGCGGGTGGCTTGATTTGGGAGCTGAAGAACTTGCAACTTGCAAGCTAGTAATTTTGTTTCCTATACTGTAAACCACATCCCTCGTTCTTGTAATATGGTAGCTGATAGCCTCGCCGCCCTTGGAGCAAGCTTGAGTCTGGGTGTTGCTCCGGTCATGGACAGCATTCCAAATTGTACTCATGTACTGGTTGCCAATGACTTGGCGTCTGAGTAATGGAGAGTCTTCCATGTTCGAAAAAAAACGGCAGCGGTATCGGCCGCACGAATAGGCGCTCTTGTAAGAGCTTCCCACTTCCTGTGGTTTTTTTTGCTAGAAAAGATAAAAACCAGCCCAACAGTTCAACTATACCAACTTCCTTCCGTCCTGCGGAAAACCGACGACATCGCGCGCATACTTCTGTGGACTCAATCCCTTCCAAGTCCCAATCGGGATTTGCAGGATCGCTGCAGCATTTATTTGTATATACTATAGGTAGATGTACTAATTGTCAAATTTCACATCAACAACGTGGATGTCGGCGAGAGTTTCATGATAGTTTCATTTTTATTTAATAGCGTGCCATGTATGTATTTTTTTTTTTGACATGACAATGTTTTAATAAAGAGAGAAGTGAGTTTTGTGGAGTTGAACTTCTATTGATACGATTACCAACTCTCTATGAATTATAGAATTAAATGTGTATGAAACTATGGAACGAAACTTCATATTGAGAGTGGCTGTTTTATTTCATTCCATATGATGCGGCAATCTTAGAAATAACGCAACGAAACTCTCTGCCGAGACTGGTTATTGAAACGACACGGCTGCCCGTTTCAAGTTTCAACAATACCTCTGTTTTGAGTGGGTCTCAGTCCTGACGCGCGTGTAGCCAGTGTATGTTAGTATACATACCTCGTCGTCCTCTCTTCTCAGTTCTCATCGACGACGTACACGTCGCGCGA